CATTTTGTTCTCCTCAGTCCAGGTGGACAGTTCGTCCAAATCGTGCTGTAGTCTGGGTGGTTCAGAAGTGCGTCTTGATTCAATGAGATTCAAATCGTCAACGAAGGCCCAAGAGGGCGATCTCATGATGTTTGGTAGGTTATTCACGTGGGCTATGAACACGATGGGCCCTAACTTGGTTCCTTGTGCAAGCCCACATGTGAGTTGTTTCTTGTGAGAAAGAACACCCTGGTATCTGGTTCTCTGTGAACGTTCTGTGTGGAAACTGACGATCCAGGGGATGATCTCCGACCTGACTCCAAGCTCGAGCAGGTGCTGTATTGCTACCGTATGATCCGCGAGGTCAAATGCTTTGCTAAAGTCTGTTAGTACCCAAGTGCTGGAGGATCCTCTTCTGTCTGCTGTCTTGTAAAGCTGGTTAGCCAAGTTGACAAGACAGTGGGTTGTCGACCGCCCTTCAGGCACCCAAACCTGGTCTTTACATATACGGGGTCTGATATCCTGAAGCACCCAGGATGCCACGAAACTCTCACATATCTTGCCAATGAGAGAGGTCAGCGACACCGGTCGAAGGTGGTCGATGCTTGGTGGGCTGGTTTTCGGGAGCGGTACCACAACTGCCTCTTTCCACTCATGTGGCACAGTCCCTTCAAGTAGGGAGGAGTTTAAAATGTCAACAATCGGTTCGCTCAGTTCGTAGGCAAATTCTTTGAGCAATCTGCCATCTATTCCATCAGGGCCTGGAGATTTATTGGTCATGATCCTACGCAGTTTCCAGTACACTTCCCAGGGATGAACTACTGGGGAGGGCGACTTGGGAGGTATGCTGACAGTTTGGACCGGTCCAAGGGTGGTAACGACGTTGTTACGTTCGTGAACTTCTGGTTGATGAGGTTAGCCATGTCGCGGTGACTGTCTGGATCAACCCCTTGAGCTTGGATGGTCATGCCCTTTTTCTGTGTACCTGTTAGGACTTTTATCTCCTTGTACCATGCACTTGGGCTGTGCTTCTTCAGGTTCTGAACCCTGTTGTTGTAGTAATGGCTTCTGGCTCTCTTGATCTCCTTCTGAATCTTATTGCGGAGCAATCTCCATGTTTCCCAATCCTGATCCCGGAATGCTCGCTGCCGCCTTCTGATCGCTGACTTTATCTTCTGGGAGATCCAAGGTTTGTCCTGGACATGCAGTCTTATTACCTTGGCAGGGAAATGTGTTGCTACTGCCGCGTTTAATGTCCTATAGAAGGCTGATGTTTTTTCTTGCGTTGTCTTTGCTTGTGTCACTTCGTTCCAATGATGTTGGGTGACCCACTGGCCGAATGATCGAATACCTGAGTCTTTCATTGGCCGTATTTCTCGCTTTGTAACCTTGTTCTCGACCTTCTGGTGTTTTGGCGACAGCAGCACAACGTTGTGGTCTCCAGTACCCAGCGGTGAGGTAACAGACGGCGTATTGTAATACTCAGAGAAATTTGTCATTATAAGGTCAAGAATAGCATTAGATCTCGTAGGTACATTAACGATCTGCCGTAGACCATTGCCAGTACACATATCTGATACATCTACACGGTTGAAGTCACCCATTATCAGGTAACCTGCGTTGTTATACTGGGTTCTGAGTTGATCTACAGTATCAAGTAAGTGTTGTTTCAAAATGTCAGCATGTGGGGACTGAGGTGGCTCATAAACTACACATACAATGATTGACGAGATCTGTCTGGGAAGACGTTTGGGCCGTAACATAAGCCATAAACACTCGAGTTCATCTGGTACCTTAACCGAAGTGAGGCTACGTGCTACAATACTTTCTCGGACATAGAGTGCAACTCCTCCGCCTCGTCTACCTTCTCTCGACTTAACGAATACATTGTAACCATCAACAGACCACATATCAGGGGGTACGTCATTGCGAAACCATGTTTCAGATACGGCGGCTACATCTATGTTGTCATTTAACAGCACAGTGTGAAATTCATCTAGCTTGTTTACTAGAGAACGAGCGTTACACAACAGAACAGATGGCACAACAATCTGGTGTAAACTAGGTTCAGTTCTAGAGTTCGTAGATGCACATGGAACCGGTACTACTTGCCGCACTCTGGGGTATTCTGTAAGTAATGTCCGTTCTTCAGGATGAACAGGAGTCAAGACGCTGTCATCAGGACGTAGGATATCCACTGTAGTCGTACTTTCTAATACCCCATAATATCTACAGGTATCTACAGTATTTTATGGAATGAATGAAAGACCTTTATTAAGTACAGGTCACAGTCATGTGGAAACAGTCATGGCTTTGTGTAAACTTATCCGGAGCATTTTATAGTATTTTATTGTAGTGACTCAAACTGTAGGATATCAACTGTATGGTCGTTATTGCTTTGCTTTATTTTCTGCATATCGTACATGGAATTACCAAAAACTATTACTTATAGGCAAATAATGTGTAGGACTAAGTAGTGTAATGTGCTTTTATTGTATTTTCCATATCGGATCTTGAGCAAGAATTCCGACTAATACACCACAAGAGTTCTTGGTTATGTCTCGCGGTGCATGTCGGTATAGCATCAGTTTGTCGGCAGAAGAAAAACAATGGCGGTCGGCCATGTTTGTCACGTCTGTATGCCGACCTTCCAACAACATAGAAACCTTGCCGCATATCTACGACTGAAAACATCTAAACATAATTAATTACACGGGTTCTGTTAAGCATATTTTGAAGCAAACAGGCGCTGAAATCTCCAACTTGACACTGCATCCGGCGCTGTGTTACGGCGGGGAAACCAGGCGTCCCCGCCGCTGCAAATCTGTTGGCTTGTAAGTCTGTAAAATTCGTCAAAATTGAAAAAAAATTACTGCTGAACGCTGGTAATACGTTGACTATCACATGTAATCACCTATAGTAACATAATTTCATCTTAAATTGAACACAACTTGGGGGGACATAACCACTGACGGGGAAACATCCACACCGACGGGGAAACGTCCACACTGACGGGGAAGAGACGTGACGGGGAAAAGACGTGACGGGGAAACGACCTGCTACCGCCACGAGCATGGCAGTCGCTGGTGGTGCCACAGCCTGAACTGTTGTTTCATGGCGTTCTTTATTATCAAGATCATATGCTTTACACCAAAAAATTATGCACACAGGCATGATATAGTCCAGAAAACCTAATCAAAATATATATCTACCACAGCGAGGGTAGGGTTGCACTCAAGCAGGAGGAAATGCATACACCCGGGCCTTGACCCTCTACTAACCTGTGATGTGTCTGTTCCTTTCTGTAGGCTCCGAGCATCGTCTGTCCTGATCGTAGGTCTGAAGGGGCTCGGGGCAGAGGTCGCCAAGAACATCGTGTTGTCTGGAGTCAAGGCTGTGACGTTACTGGACCATCAGCAGGTAGGGTAGACTGTCATCATACATATACATACAGGTCTTTGCAGGTGGGTACATTTGATGGGCAAGAATTTGTAAAAAGCAATATACAAACTTAAAAGCCCCATTGTGTGTTCGAGAGAAAACCCTGTCCTTGCCTTTTTTCTCACTAGTAGATGAATGTCAGTGTAGAAGGAGTAAAATGCAGACCAGCACCAACATTATAAATTATAGCAACAAGTGTCTAAAAAAAAGGGTGTTGTCTATTGATTTGACCAACACGAAATCACAAGTACAGATATGCACCACACACAACTTTCACCTGTCTCATTGCTGCCTTGTCCCGTCCCCTGTAGGTTACAGATGAAGATTTCACTTCTCAGTTCCTGGTGTCCAGGGCAGACCTGGGGAGGAATGTAAGTATGTCAAACAAGGGTTAACCTTTTCCCTGCTGAGGAAGTATACATAAGACAAGGGTTAAGTGTAACTCTTTACATGTAAGTAGTTTGCCCATAAATATTTAAAAAAGGTGATTTTCACCTGCTGAGTTAGCGTACATCAGACAAAGGTTAAACTTGTCCCTGCACCTGACACCAAAGTTGTGTTGGCCTCAGGTTTTGGGCAAAAGGGAGAAAGCACACAAGTACAAATATTGTACATAATACACACTGTGAGTTACCATAACTTACCAGTAGTATGACATATGACTTAATAAACAGATACAGGTTAGCTGTGAAAAGTTGCAGATTTCCGGTATTTCTCCAAATTCAAAGTTTATTGTAATGCTGATTATGTTGAGTGTAGATCTTCTTCTGCCACTCCAATCATCACGTTCCTATCAGCTGTCCTCCCTCCATGCCTTTAGTGTGTATTAAAGTGTACCTTCAGTGCTGCATGTCTCTGATTCTTCATCGTTATTCCCTGCTGTCTCCTCCCAGAGAGCAGAGGCCTCCCTGGACAGAACACAGAACCTGAACCCAAACGTCAAGGTCATGGTGGACACCGAGGATATCAAGGACAAGCCAGACGAGTTCTTTACCAAGTTCAACGTAGTCTGCCTGACCTGCTGCTCCCAGCAGACCTTGCAACGTATCGGTCATGTTTGCCATGACAACGGGGTGAAGTTCTACGCAGGGAACATCCACGGTTACTGCGGGTACATGTTTGCAGACCTGGGGGAGCATGACTATGTGGAGTGAGTGTCACAGAATAGATAGATTCTTAACTACACATATAATAACAAGTTATCTTTACTAGGGACTCTTTGGACCTGCTTTGGTCAGCGATTTGCCTGATTGGGCTAACACACCAGCTTCACAGACAGGTGGTTGAAATTGGTTGTACATGACATTGTATTTAATAACTGTCATAATAATTTAATGACCTTTACAAAGGTAACTTCAGATGCTCCTGCAGTACTTAGTTCCTCTCTTTAATGAGCTAGGTGACCATTTGGAAAATCCTTTTTGTTCAATTCACAATGTTTTACAACAACAAAGTTTGAAACTGAACTAAGATTAAATACATGTATTTGTGTCTATGTTTAGAGAAAAACCAAAGATTATCAAGACAGATAAAGAGAAGGAGGAGGGGAAAGAAGAAGGTCCAGCTGCCAAGAAGGCTAAAGTAGACACTACTGAGACAGTGATGGTCAAAAAGGTAAGACACCACCGGAAACTGTTGCTTTTTTTTAAAGTAGATTAGACTGTCTTTAAGAGCAGTTGGCAGTGGTTGGATTTGGAAGTTGGAACTATGCATTCTGAGTGGTAGGGTATTGTTTTAAAAGTTAAGAAGTATGCAAAGAAAACTAATTTTGTGCGGGATGATAAAGAAATTTTATACATTGTTATAACATTTACTTTTAACTCCATATTTAGTCACCATAATTAGTAAAACTAAAAGTAGATTCAAATCTTTCTGAATTGTTTTGTCAGACTGCCTCCTACTGTCGGTGGCAGGAGAGTCAGACCATCGACTGGACTTCAGACACCAACAGCAAGGCGCTGAAGAGAACACCACAGATGTACTTCATCATGCAGAGTTAGTATGCTCTTACATAGGATGTGTCTGTGTGTGTATGTGTGCATCTGTGCTTGTCTGTGTGTGTGTTTGATTGTGTTTGTTTTGTATTGTACTGTGTGCTAAGAGCCTGAATAAACAGAAAACAACAACATTGCTGTGCCCTGCTCAGTTTTGCTGAGATTTCGTGATGACCACGGCAGAGACCCAGCTGTCAGCACCAGGGAGGAGGACAAGGTTGCGTTGCTACGGTTACGTGACGATGTCCTGACAGAGATGAAGCTGAAAACAGACCTGGTAGGAGACGAGTTTGCAAGGTGAGTGTCACAAAGTCAAGTTGGGCATGGAATATTGTAATTATTGCTTACTTTTGGTTCATCTAAGAAAGCTTTTTGGCTCCATGGTTATGGTGCTAGGCAGCAGGGAGAGGGATAATGTACAACTGAGTTTTCAACAATAACAAGATGATGTTTTTCCAGCCACTGCTTCGTGGCCCTCAGTCCAGTGTGTGCTGTGGTGGGAGGTGTTCTTGCACAGGAAATAGTCAAGGTAAAAACTAAAGACTCCAAGAATTAAAGATGTTCCCTTCCAATCAACTTTACTTTCCTTTGGGGAAATGTTGCTGATTCTAATTTTACTGGCTAATTGACACTTCATGAGACCGTCACACTTTCCTAACTTATGGCAGGTAGTATTAGTATCTTTTGTAAAGCTGATTTTCTCCATTGTCTGGCAGGCTGTTTCTGGTAAAGATGCACCACTGAACAACTTCTTTTTCTTCAATGGAGTCGACGACAGCGGCATGGTGGACTGCATTGGGAGTAGGAGCTAGTGGGTGGAGTACTGGTAAACACAGCAAGGGGGCGCTTTTGCTGGACATTTGTACCATGATCTGTCTGTCCATGTACTGTACTGTTTGTTTTGTTTCTAAGTTCCTGTCTTCTGTTCCTTTGTGTTTAGGATGTTGAGGACAAGGACAGGTTATTGGGTAGTGAGATTACTAAAGCACTCTCCTGTTATAAGTCCATGTATTGTACATGTCCAATGTTTATGTATCAGATTTCTCTGTGTCCATTGTTGGTTTGCCTTGTGTTCAGTTCTGGTTCAAAAGAGGAGGACAAGGTTAGACAAATTATGGCCTTTTGTTGTCAGATGAAGTAGAAACAGAGAGTTTGTACAACTGTTGTTCTCCGCTGTTGTAAACATCGGTATGAGGTTCATTTGCATGTCTGCAATTGATACCGGTAACATTTACTGACAAAACATTTCAGTCACACTCACATAGGGGTTGCCTGGTGGAAAGGGAAATTTTGGAAAACTATATGTCAAAATTAAAAGCTTGGTTTCTTGGTGATTTTCAATCAGTTTTGTATGTAAAACTGATTCACAAGGAAACAAAACTGCACTTAACAAACTGATTTCATTAACAATCACTTGATAACTGTGTTAAATGCATTCATACAGGATAGTTTAGACAGACTATTTGTAACCACTGACTCTGGCATCATAGAAATTCTTGACACCATCAGGAGAGGGTAACTGAATACCCAACCTTTCCATCAGGATAGTCCTTAGTGCACAGCTTAACCTACATTCATGTGGACAAGTGGGTTCCCAGAACCTCAGGGGAAATGTGTTCAACAGCAGGACTGTAACAGCAGGGCTACAGGCGAGGGATGGTCCAGGGCTTGATATACCTTTTCCCCATACCTACAATCTGTGATTCATACCACTGAGCCCAAATATTTTTAGCTTGAATTATACAAGCTGTTTTCTCCAATCTTTGAAATATATTTTTCTGGTTGCATGTGTATTTCAAGCCCTGTAACCTGAAATAGGTGTCAAGCTGCTAGGTCAGCAGGTCATTATAGATATACTGCTGTTCTATAGTTGTTGTGGTTATGTTACTGACAAACACTTGATCTAAAGATTTATCTTGTATACATTGTTCCAAGGATGGGGAACTTGTTGTTCATTACTATTTATCTTTCCACCAAAACAGTCAATCATGTATCATATTTATCAGTCAACTCTCACTATTTTAGAATGGGTTGTTGTTTTCTTACAAAGTTATGTCCAGTCTGCAATGATATGATTACACCCAAGTAGAATACTTGAACCAGGCACACAAAACCAGTTTATACTTTTTACAATAAAGTTGAACCCAAGAAGACACCTGTCTGTGTTCTGTGATTGTGAGGTTGAAATGTGTGCTGGGCAGGTGAGCATGTTTCCACAGGTGGGAGGACACCAGGTGTTGATGGACAGGTGTCAGTGATGGACAGGTGTCAATCAAGTGAGAGATGGGTGAGTAGTCACTGAGTACCCTGGAGTTGTTCCTCAGGATGTGTGATCTTAGTTTCATGGATGACATCCTCTTGAGACTTGCCATTCAATTTAAGAGATTTAATACTCATCTGTTGCACTGTATGCTATATTTTTTTACACTTTCATGACTTACAAAATATATTCCTTAACTTTCTTTGGTGACTTCACTAAGGTCTCAAATCCACCTTTTGTCAAGGTTGTTAGCTAACAGTCTAGTCAGCAGAAAAATGTCAATATTCAAAAGATGACAGACTTGTGTGCGCACTTGAGTCAAACATCTTTTTTCATCTTTCAGAGTAAGCTCTATCCTGATTGGCTGTGCCACTGGTCAGGATACTCGATTCACCAATCAGGTAAGAGGTCTCATTTCTCTCCACCTGTCACCTTACATCATTACAGCAGTGTGTTCTCCTTAGTTTATGGCACTCGGGAGTACAGTTTGGAGACTAGGACTTTTGTCTGTCGGTCGTGGAAACGGCGTAAGGTTTGTTGTCTCGTTGACGTCAGGCTGGGACGAACATTAGGTTCTCCATTCAACCAGTATCAGCCTTGTCTTCAGTCAAAGTTGTGGAAGAAAAGGGGTGAGACCTGGGATTAGTGTGTGACAGGAGCTGGTGTACAGTCTGAATCTCAGGGGAATAAGGAAGTAAGAAGGTCCCAAACATTCATCCTTGGCAATTGTCCTGAAATCTCTCCCCTGAGACCCTTAAATCTTTCCCCTGAGATCCCTGCATGGTCAGTTGGTCTGGCGGACCCAGCGATTGTCTAGACGTATTGTTTGGATGGATGGAGCTATCATGGTTTATGAACATGATAACTTGTCGGGTGTAAATCAGGTTATTTTCACCATATAGAGCTGTGTGTGTGGTGTGGGGTGTTGCTCAAGAAATGTACATCAATATCATAACAGTAGATAGGTGATGTGACAGTGTGTTCCTTTGATGCTTTTGATTTCATTATATAAACTATGCTTCATATAAAACTTATAGCCGTTTGAAAGAGGTTTGCTTCAATGATGATATATTGCAAGTTAATTGTAAGCAATTATGGATTACTACTAGAAAGGGCTGATAATAAGGTTTTACCACGAAATGAACATTATGTATATTTACTACATTGTGGAAACTACGTTGCTCCATGCTTGTTGATGGAGTACAACTGACCTCCTTGGGTTTGACAGAAGACATCAGTAGGTATTGACTAGATTAGGAGGATATTGATATTTTTTTTCTGTAAGACAGGGAAGAACAGAAGATGCGTTAGAGGCCTGTGTTGATAGCCTGTCAGGTCCTGCTGTGGTGTTTTGATGAGTCAATGGATTAGATATTACTTCATTAACCTGTCTGACCCTTCTGAGATTTAAGATGTGCCCGGTATCCACCTGTCATCTCAGTAATGAATGCTCAGATGAAACAAAGATCAGATTTCCATACAGCCACCTCTGGAGCTGAAACCTAATATCCTCCATCCATGTCAGTTTCAACTCATGCAATCATGAGGAAAATATCTTTAGGTTTGTCGATGAAGGTTAGACATCCAGGTAATACGATACGCCAAAAATCAGTTACTCAAGCAACTGGATATGATTTTGAAAACGTCAGACGTTTCAGCTATAGAGGCAATATATGAAAGAATGTACAACCCCACCCTCAACAGGGAAGGGGGGCTACGGGTCGATCTTTCCGGGACTTGGGATTTGGCACTCCCAGCCCCGAGGACAGACAACAGTTAAGCTCCTGTTCCGTATAACAGGAGCTTTCAGACTAATTTGCATCATTTTGTCTTGACTTGTCTGACTTTTGTTCCTTTCTCAACTTCCAAAAAATTTGTCTTCACTTTATTTGCATATCAATCAACAGGTTGTGTTTATAAACCAGCTTTCCCCTCTGGTCTCTCAGTCACTGACGAAAGCTAGTGGATACTAGCTGAAACGTCTGACGTTTTCAAAATCATATCCAGTTGCTTGAGTAACTGATTTTTGGCGTATCTTTAGGTTTGTAAAAAAAAACCTGTGCAGACAGGTGAGAGCACCTGCGCAGGCAGGTGAGGGTACCTGTGTAGACAGGTGAGGGTACCTGTGTAGACAGGTGAGGGTACCTGTGTAGACAGGTGAGGGTACCTGTGTAGACAGGTGAGGATACCTGTGTAGACAGGTGAGGATACCTTTGTAGACAGGTGAGGATACCTGTGCAGACAGGTGAGGGTTTCTATGTAGACAGGTGAGGATACCTGTGCAGACAGGTGAGGGTTTCTATGTAGACAGGTGAGGATACCTGTAAATACAGGTGATCACATTCCTACGCTGCCATTGCCCCATCAATCAAACACGCTGATCACATGACCAGGATCACTGTATACCAACAGCGAATCACCTGCAATCAATTTTTAATGACCTGTAAAAATGATTGTGAAAGGCTGGCAGCTTCCTTAATGTCTTAAGGTGTGTTCCTGTCACTTGTGAGATAAAGGGATTATCCTGTACTTTCACTGATGGGCTGTTTTTAAGAATGGTAAGGAGCCTTGTCAGCTGCTGTCTTGTGGTGCTTTTGTTCTATAGACCCACAGGGATCTATAACAACTTAACAACTAAACTGTTGACATTAAACAGACAAGCTTGTCAGACAATGGCACTTATTCCACGGGCTGCCAGTGATGCTAGACAAAGGGACGAGAGTTAACCCTACCCCGTACTTATGGGATCACAATTTCCCATGTGTCTCAGTCAGAGTTCTTAATTGAAATTCCAAATTACTGGTAATGTTACAGTGGAATCTGTGTGTCATTTCGTCTTCACTAAAAGCATTCCTGCAGCCATGAGGAAAGCAGTCATCACATCTTGGGCACCATTAACATTATTAGGCTGCTGCATAGTCTTACAGCTGCAGATTGAGTCTGCTGCATTCAGGGCAGGATTGATCACTTTTTGACACCACATTCCCCACATCAGTGATGTATGTACTCACACGTCACCTTCCCAGGGGAACTCTCCCCACGCCTGCGGAATTCCGACAGGTGAGTTCTCATCTCACCTGTCTGGAAAACACACCTGACGTTCTGAAGTAACCGCGGTGACCTTGGGACAGAACATTCATAACAACATTACCCTCAGAGTCCGATAACACAACTGTCATCCAATCCCTGTGTTTATTACCCGTGTGATATTGTTTGATCGCCATAGCAACAGGCATGACTCATGCTCGGGCTGTGCCGTGCTCGCTTCCTTTCTAGTGCTTGTCACGATAGGAATCAATCAATTTCCACCCCCGTTAGCCACACCAGATTTGTTGGTTCTCGAATATTAAAAAAAAAGTCAATGCTAACCTGGAAAATAAACATGAAAACAGAGTCTGCAGGAAAAGGTCACTTTTTAAAAATCTTTTCCTTTTGTTAGATTTTACCTCTTCATGTCCGAGAACAAACGAGATGAATCATGGCAGCCTTAGTTACAGGAACCCATGTAGAGTGCTGGAACATCGCTAACCTGTGGGTCAGGCTGGAGAGGCACAGATTACAGAGATGTGATCTGGAAACCTTCTAATTACATCTGTGAAGTTAAGACTCCAGTAATTACATTCTGATCAGTGGGATGTTCAGATATTAAGCCACAAAAATGTTGATTTCATGAAGGATGTAATCTGGATCTAATGAGAGATTGCAGCAATAAAAGATGGGCCAGAAATGATTCCTAGATTTACAGGCTAGATATTAGGTGTCATCTCTGTATTTCTGGCTACTTTACTGAAGTGTTCAATGGGATATAGCATGGAAAAAAGTTCACCTTCCCTGACTAAAAAGATAATACCGGGTACCCTTGTAAGCTGAAAACAGACCAAAATCAATGTGTGCATGCCATGAATGACATCACATCCATAAAATTAACTTTTTGTTGCCTTAGAGACAAGGGCCAAGTGGATTATATGGAACAGTCCATTTACATGAAATTTGGAGGGGTGGCCAGAAATGATTTTCATACTGAAATAAAACTATTAAAAGGGGGATGACACCAAGATATAGATAAGTGGCTCGAGGATTTCCAAACAATTCCAGTGGAAGGTAGTTAGAAGGTTGAAAGCAAAAGATAACCCAAAAATCTGAATTTCCCATTACGGTTTACATAAACATACACCTTTTCACAGATCTCATTGCATGATAGGAGATGCAGGGAACTACGGGTACAGAATATTGGGCTTATACTTGAAAAAAAATATTGTTTTAAGGTTGACTGCAAAATGAGGCATGAAAGTTTGTTATCAAAGACTTGTAGAGTATGCAAACATGACTGTTTATGCTGTAACAATTATTTGAGCTGCCAGCTGCAGCTACTGTTCAAGTCCTATCAGACATGGAAGGTTAACTTAATCCTGTATTCCTGCATGTGGACAGGGATTGTGACATAAAAGGGCTCTTGTCTGGAAGTGCATGTTGAATCTGTGGCATTTGTTGCTGAGATCCTCTGGTATGTAATATGATAATTCTGCAGCTGGGTGGACGAGTCCTCCATCCTGTATTACATCATCATCTGTGCTGGTGTAACTCTACACTGTGGGAAACCCAGAAAATATCACAAAGTCAGGGCCTCACCAGCAATGGGGAATTAGAGAATTCAGCAGTGTAAGGTTACCCCAGATTACAGCAAAGAGTGATATCTGGGAGGCAGTCAACAGCCTGGTGGTGTGACTGGGAAGAGTCCTGATATCTGTGAGAAAAGAGTCATGTGGGACAAGGTTTAACAACCTGTCTGACATGGCAACAAAGATACCAACTTTCACACACTAGTGACTTCCACAGACACACACAGTTAGGCAGCACTGCAAGGGGACTGTGTAGGAGTATGTGCACATCTTA